AAAAGTAAATAAATAAATAAAATAATCGGATTAATTGAGATACGATTTATAAAAACAAGTTCAATAGAGGCCTAGGGTTTAGAAATCCTTATGTATTTTGATTTTGGTTGCAAAGGTCCCTTGGAGGATATGTACTGTACAATATAGTCTCTACATTGTAGTAATAAAAGGCAATTATTTTCCCAATAAGAATTTCCTGGATGACAAACTTCCTTCTTTTAGTTCTTGGGAGTGGAGAAGTCTATTGACTTGGAGTCACATCTGCACCCCACAATGTCCCATAGTACATCCCTGCCGTGTATTAAAAATATCTCCTAATGATAATATATGATGTCATTATCGAAAAATATTTCCAATACACAACGGGGATGTGCTATGGGACATTGTAGGGTGCCATCTGAACTCATTTACTTATAGGGACCTGTTGAAAAAAGGTATCTATTGGGCTGTTTGAGAAAACATAAGCATTTGAGTTCTGGGATGCATGGGATCTATAGCTTGAGCCAGTCCCCTTGATTGTGGCGAATGATCTTATAAACCAAAATAGAAATCTTGTAGGGGTGATTATGGGCAAGACTGGGATGGGTTTGGCACATACATTGACGGCTATAGCCTGGGCTTGGGCATGGCCTGGCCTAGAATACGGGTGGGTTAACCCAGGCGTAATTATGGGCATGGGCCTATATATATATATATATACATAAAATATTACATATAATACGTGTTATAAGTCTTATATTATAATATTTATATATAATATACAATATAACATATAAAATATATGCATATACATAAATTATCTATAAACTATATATATATATATATATATATATATATATATATATATATAAGATGTGTCTGCTGTGCTAATCTTTGTGGGTCAGGCTGAAAATGGTCAATCTAAAGGTTATGTTTGATTTGAAGGAAAAAGTAGGAAAATGAAGAAAAAGATAGGAAAACTTATACAAGGTTTGTAAAGATTTTCTTACCTTTCTCTTTCTTTTCTTACTTTTTTCCTTCAAATCAAACACAGCCTAAAATTGAATTGTAAAATGTGTAGAATCAGTGGTAGCAAGTTGAATTGTAAAATAGCTTGGAGGTTTTTAAATGAACAAAATGGTTTACTAATGCTTCTCACATTTGGAAAATTTTGGCAAGAGAATTATAGGGTCTAGCTCAGACGATTGGTTATCAGAATCATAGAGAATTTAGTTTAGGTATCTGGGGTAATGCCTGGATCAAAGCTAGAGGGGATTTAGATGCCCTGTTTTGTCCAAATACTATCAAGTAAAAGATCTAATTTTACCGGTATCCAGAGAATGGAATTATCAATTAATTTCTACTTTATTCCAACAAGCGGAAGTGGAGAAAATCCTGAGAATGCACATTTTTCATAGAGAGGACAAAGTGGTCTGGACTGGATCTATAAATGGGAAATTTTTCACAAAAAAAAAAAAAAGGTTCTATCAGATCAAAGAATTAAGAGGGCTGCCTCTACTGGATCCTCAAGCAAGCTAAACATCAAGGAAAATATGGAAACTGAAAGTTCCCCCGAGGTTTAAATTGTTTCTTTGGAGGGTTGTTCAGGGATTTATTTAGCAAAACAAGATTTGTTTTCTTGTTTAAATTGACTTAGGAGTTCCCCCGAGGTTTAAATTGACTTAGGAGTTGATTCACAACGTGAATTGTTTTTCTTGTTTCCAGTTTCAAAAATAAACCAAATTCATTTGGTTTCAAAATAGATTGTTTCTCAAAACAAAAATACAAAAAGACATGTTTTTTGTTGTATTTGTTTTCTATTTTCAATATTAAAACCAAAAGTATGTTTTTGAATTTGGTTTCAAAAACATGTTTTCATCTGATTATTCAACTTCATGTTCCATAAATCATATAACTTTCGTTTCATACTGAAAAAAATTGTTTTTGTTTTAAAACATATACTGTTTTCTAAAACAAAACCAATTTGTTTTTCCTTTTAGAAACAAAAATAAAGTTCAATAACATGTTTTTGTTTTTTAGCTGATGTAGCTATTCCAAAAAAAAAATAATAATAACATTCATGTTGTAGAACGCCCCCTTGATTATGATTCTGGTTAACAATATTTGTTAGGGTGATACTGAATCTCTGTTTCATTTACCGGTGGAATGTCTTTTGGGTAAGACTGTTTGGTTTTCTAGTATCTGGTCTAGTGTTTTGTGGATGGCTTTACAATTCTGGCTACAGGAGGAAATGCTGGAAGTTCATTGAAAATGGAGCTGGGTGCGAATTCACATCTGCACCCCACAAGGGAGTGCCCCACAGCACATCCCTACCTTTTATTGGGAACATCTCCCGATGATGTCTTATCATCTCCCGAGATTGGCTTCAGTCAGTGCATCATCCATTCCAACAGTCTTTACAGCCTTGCATTGGGAACATCTCCGTACTTATGTGCTTTATTTCATGGGGAGATATTCCCAATGCAAAGCTGCAAGAGGCTGTTTGAACAGTAAACTTGCACTGACTGAAGCCAAACTCTCATCTCCCATACTTATCATTGGGAGATGTTCCCAATACAAGGTCGGGGTGTGCTGTGGGGCATTGTGGGGCGTCCCTTTGTAGGGCACAGATGTGAACTCGCTGGGTGCTATTTTGAAATTGTTAAGTTTGATTGTCTAGCAGGAGTTCAAATTAGCCCCCACAACGTCCCATAGCACATTCCCGCCGTGTATTGTGAATATGTCCTGATGATGACATTATCATTTTGATACCATCATCAGGAGATGTTCCCAATACACGGCGGGGATGTGCTGTAGGATGACGTTGTGGAGGACTGATTTGATCTGTCCAGTAGGATTGAAATTTGGTTTCGGCTTCAATAGTTGCAATAAAAAGCTTGCTCAGAAGTGGAGTGGACTAGAAAGTCTAGAATGTTTGTTGGGCTTGTCAAGAAAAATTGGATGATATCTTGAATTTAACTAAACTTTTTTTCTTCGGTTATTTTTGTTCATAAAAATAGAACTGCTAATTTGCTGAAGATAGATTTTTGGTGGTATTCACCATCCATCTGGTTGGAACACTTGATATGTAATATTTTCTGTTGATTGGCGTCTTTTTTTTCTTGTTCAGCTTTAAAAACAAAAAAAAAAAAAAAAATTGTAGAATGACTAGAATCTGTGATTCTGAGCTATGGGGCATTTTTCTACATAACACATATTAGGTGGCATTTGATTCATAAAATGGTGTTACGTCGGAGAATTTGAGAAAACAAGAAAAAATGAATCGACATATGCTGTTTAGATAGCGGTTTTTTCAAGGCAATTAACCATTTTCTCCAAAAATGACAAAAAACATTTTGCATTTTTTTCAAAAAATGCCCATCTCAAAAAGCTGTTTTATGTTGTTCCCCGTTTTCTCAAAAACCACAAAAAACGCAATACCATTTAAAAAAAAAAACGTAATGGAACCAAAAAAGTTTAAATTTTCAATACAATTATCAGACATATCGTATCATATCTTTTGGGTTTCAATACACCTGTTTACAAGTATTTCGGGACCCCTCTTTTTTAATAAAAAATACCTGTATTTAACTCTTCAAAAACCAAATTTTGAAATAAAAAAACTACAAAAAAACATGTTTCCGCATGTATCTAAGTACCGATATGCCTCCAATACACAAAAGTGTATCAATATTTTGAACCTTGAACCAAACGACATGAATTGTATTTGTACTCCTTCCACACTGAGCCTAAGGCTGTGTTTAGATGCGGTGCAAAAGCCGGTTCAGTGTACTTTTACACTCCAGTCCAGTTTTGCAACCATTTGGATGGAGTGTAAAAGTACATCGAATATCAATGTAAAACCTCACCTTCGAAGCTTTTTTACTTCTATAATCAATGTATAAAATACATTGATTTTTTTGATGTAAAACTTGATCAGAGTAACCTCAGTGTAAAAGTAATGACTCTTTCTTCCCCTCTTTCTCTCATCGTTGAGTTTCGTTCACCAACACCATCCACCACCGTCGTTTCCACTCCCTCTCTCTCTCTCTCTCTCTCTCTCTTCTTCTTCTTCTCCCTCACTGTCTATTCTCTATCATAGTCAACAGCCAACCGGTGGAACTTACTGTCATAATCGTCCAACATTTGTTAGCTGTGAATCAGATTCGTAGATGATGACACCTCACACAATATTCTTCTATGATGTTCTCTGTCCCTTCCTCAAATCGCATTCTTGCTCTCTCAACCATTCTGACCCGAAAGAAGAAACTCAATTGTCCCTATGTCATCCAACATGTTATCGACCTTTGCTCATAAGGGAAACTCAAAGAAGCGGTTGAATCCTTAAAGCTTCTCTATTGTTGTGGCCTTCACTTAAACCACCACACGCTTGCCTTCCTCCAGAAATATGCAACCTCCATTTAAAACTTACTGGTGTCGAGGAGACAAAAACATTCTTGTCAAACAACAATATAAAAACTAAACATGACCGATTCATCTTTCTTACTGATCTGTTTGGCTGTTTTCCAAATACATCGATGTATTTTTGCATTTACACCACATCTAAACGAAGTCTAAAGAATTGAATGAATGCTTGAAGAATTGGTGATTCATGAGAAAGAAATTTGGGCCCATTCATTTTTCAATAAGTTACTTACCCAAGTTACCAAGTGTTTCTAAGAAAAACTAACCCAAATAAGTGTATTTACCCATGTTTTTTTTAGTTTCCATGAAAATAAAGCAACGACCATTTTATCCATAAAAGTCCATTATTAAAAAGGGTATTTTTGTCTCATTCAAGTGTTGGCAACTTTCCCTCCAGGTGAGAAAATGATATCTAAAAAAATAAACCTTTCCTGATCTCCATAAAAATCTGATAAAAGAACATGGATTTATTGGTCAATGAAAACTCTCAAAATCCAAAAAAAAATCACCCCTACGAGGAATTGATTAGTCTTACCAAGCACAATTGTAATCTCCCGTGAGCATCCACGCTGCCCAAACCATGACTAGAATCAATAAGAACAAACATTGGGTTCTCAAACGCAGGCATTATATGGTATCTCCACGTAAATAACCACCAAAGGACAGAACTTGAGCTACATAAAACCATGGAATGAACCATGCTTGTGCTTATCAATGAAATCCATATCTAGAAAAATCAAATTCTCCTCGCGTAGACGAGTGACAAAAATATTCCAAAATGGCTTTTATTTCAAAACTGAAGCTACTTCATAAGCACTAATACCACCGTGCTAAGCTAGGAATGAGAAGAGTATTCAACTAATTAAGGCATGAGTATGCAAGAGACTTCTCCTCAGAGAGCTCCTCTGCTGTCAAGTCCAATTTCTTTCTTGAAAATTCATCGATTTGGAGTCCTGCACAAGGAAGGGCAGAATAGTAAACCGTCAAACTTTGAGGATCTGACATTGTTAGCTTGGAACTATAGAAGTAACATTTCCAAACATGAAGTTAAAATTGTTAGCCTTGACATTTGAGACAGTTTTTAATTGAAAAATAAGAAGATTTGGGAGTAACTAAAGAGGGAAATAATCTCGAAAGTGCTCTGTGCTGGAAACTTTCGAAACATATATTTAGCTGTTTAATTGAAAAGCAGTTTAGACTTAGTTTGAAAAGGGGAAGATAATCTCGAAAGTGCTTTGTGCTGGAAACTTTCGAAACATATATTAAGTTGAAATTTGAAGTGTCATGATACTTTAGCTGTTCAATTGAAGAGCAGTTTAGACTTGGTTTGAAAAGAGTACAAATACAAATATGTACAGTGCAAAACGTACAAAATAATACAAAATAGAAGGTTTTGCACTCAACACATTTGTATTAATACTCTTTCCAAACTGAGCAAGTGAGCCTTAGCCTTAGGGAAGGTGAATAGAGGAAAGTAATCTAGTAAGTGCAGCACTCTAAATTAGCTGTACTGGAAACTTTCTATATCCCGTACTTGAGGAACTAATTAAGCCTGAAGTGCTCAAAGAGAGGGTAATAAAACTACAAGCCAATTTATTTTAGGAATCCGAAATTGATATCAGTTTAAGTTGAAAGAGTGATGTTACCGGTATGAACTTATTTTGCAACAAATACAAGTATATCATGTACCAAACATCCAGTGCATTGACTCAATAACCCAAGAATCTAGGACCCACCTGAACTGACAAAATTTGGGACCTGTATATGATGCACTTGCATCTGGTAAAAGAGGATAGTAAAAAGTAAAAACATGTTTTAAGTTGGTTTGTTCTCTTTTATCTAAATTGTTAGGAAATTGAGGCACCATAGAAGGAGAGCAAAATAATCTAAAATGTGGAGCACTTTAAAATAGTTGGGCTTGATATTTTTGTACACCCCACACTTAAGGAACTAATTAGACCTGAAGCATGCCAGAGAATTCATCCAACGGTGAAAAGTGATAACAAAATGCTGCTACCAACTGAATACCAACCATTGGAAGAAAGAGAAAATAAGGTTATGAAGAAAAGCTATAAATCCACGTGTCTGTCAAGTTGCACAGAAAGAAAAAAAAATGATCTGTTATGTAATCTGCTTAGAAAAATAAACAAATTCTGCAATCTTGCTTCAGAAAAGAATAGAGAGAACACCAGTAATGACATCTAATTAAGTTTTCATGATGTTTAAAAGACACAAATAGACATTTAAAAATAATGTGTATCCACATGCAGATCAACTCTAGAAAGAATTAATAAAGAAAAGCAGGTCCTCATGAAACAGAAAAGGAAAGTTAAAATGGTTGCATCCTTACCTTGAACTATTGTCCATTCTCCATTACGACAAGTTACAGGGAAGGAATAGATGAGGCCCGCAGGTACATTATATGATCCATCAGAGTACACACCCATGGAAACCCAAGTGCCCTAAAGCATCCAATTGAAAGATTAGAAAGAATTAATCTTTACATAATAAAGTTGCTGAAACAAACAAGCAGACATGTGCCCAACCACACAGAACAATGTATATCTTTATATAGAACAGCATATAAATAAATAACAACCTCCGGTGTCCCAAGCACCCAATCACGTATGTGATCACAAGCAGCACTTGCAGCAGACAATGCACTAGATAGTTTTCGGGCTTTTATAATTGCAGCACCACGTTGTTGGACAGTGGTGATAAATTCTCCATTCAACCTTAAAAATGAAACGATATGCTTCAGTAATCTCCCATCAAATATACCTGCGCAATAAAAAGGGGAAGATCTTATATTTACCATTCTTACCATTCATCATTAGCAACAAGCTCACGTACAGGCTTTTCTCCAGAAGGTGTTACAATCTTTGCATGGTTGACGTCAGGGTACTGAGTTGAAGAATGATTTCCCCAGATAATAACATTCTTAACATCAGAGACGTGAACATTCAATCTCTCTGAGATCTGACCTAGTGCCCTGTTATGGTCCAACCTAGTCAGGCATGTTATGTTTTTCTCAGGGATAGAAGGTGCAAATTCTTTCAGGATCAAGGCATTTGTGTTTGCTGGGTTAGCAACAACCAAAACCTGTACAGAACAGCATAGACAAACATGGTAAAGGTTCATTTGGTGCCTGTATGTAAATGAATCTCTGAAATGCATAAAATGTTCCTAGCTTGCTGCACCTAACGAGTTAAATCAATGCACTCAATAGATCGAATCTTATCCAAAAAGCAAGACAGCAACATGGTGGATTGTTAAAGACCTTGCAGTTTGCAGCTGCATGCTTTTCCAGAGCAGATGCTTGAGACTTATAGATGGATACATTTTTTGACATCACATCTTTTCTTTCCATTCCTTCTTTCCTTGGGAAACCACCAACCATGACTGCAATATTCACTCCAGTGCATGCCTCAAAAACATCGGTTGTAGCAACAACACCTGAGACAATTGTCACACAAGATAACTTTCTTATTTCAATAAAAATTAAGTCAAATCAGATCTCAAATACAGACTTGAAATGATTTTTAATTTACTCCATTCGATCTTTCACCCACAGGACAAAAGAACCCACCTTTAAGAAGAGGAAATGCAGCATCCACCAACTCCATTTTTACCCCATTCAAGGCCTCTGCAGCAGGTGGGATATCAAGCATGTGCAAAATTACAGGTTGATCAGGACCCAACATCACTCCTCTAGCAATCATAGGCACAAGAGCATACCCAATTTGTCCTACAAATCCAACGCAGTTTCCTCAAAATTTGATCCAAAGGAGTAAAAGAAAAGAGTAAATAAAAATCTAGGCAAGAAGACAGTTCAGATACTAAACCAAACAATCACCTGACCTTTATAAAGCAAAGTTTTCAGAGGTCAGTTAAGTTCTATCCATTGCAACTGATGGATAAATTAGAGAATCAACCATTCATTTTTATGATAGAACAAGCATATTATAAACCAGTTAGAAAAATGAAAATAGTCAAAATACAAAAGAATATCCCCATCCATTCAGTCAATTTCCTACAAATCTTGCAGTACATCTTCTTCATTGGCACATTTTCCCAAAGAGAAGCTGAGGCATGAAAAGAATTAGAAGTTGCATGATTTAACCAAGTCCAAAGTACAATCAAAGTTACAACCAAACAAAAGCAGACTTTAATGCTAATCAATGTTAGTTAACCAACTGGAGGAAAATAAAGGGAGCAATCCTAACGAACAGATCGAGGTTTCAAATTCCTTAAAGCTGAGAATCATTCCACGAAAGTACTTCATGATGCCATGGTCTACTCAAGTACCCAGCAGTAATTACTGCTTTACTTCAAGGATACATTAAGGTATCACAACATGCAAAAATTTCTGGTCAAAACACCCAGGTTTAGTAAAAATAGCTTCAGAATTTAAACTACTAAAGCAGGAGGATTCGGAATCAAACGAGCTCATAATCTTTCACTGAGCAATAAAACCCATAAAAGATGAAGCAAAAATTTGAGCACTTAGCCACTAACATAAAAACTGTTATACGGGGCATCAACAAAGAGATCTTCCCGTAAGATCAAGGTAGTAGAAAATTATCTACTTTACTCACTATCACTTACACTATTTAGAATTCATGGTTTAGACAGCCCACCACACAAACCTAATCACTGCCACAGATTAATTCCACATTTCATCGAAACTCCGTCATCCAACAAAAAGCACACGAGGCAAACAGCAAATTAAACTTATCAAATCTTAATCCGACTCGACCGAGAAAGAACATCTAACCCTAATTTTGCCGGATCTTCGATTGGTTCACAAAAACTATAAGAAACACAAGATCAAAAAAAAAAAGAGAATCTTTCACCAAACCTGCAGCTCCTGTAACTAGAACACGAACTGGATCTTTCGCCATTGATGGAGATCGACGAGAAAACACCAAACTAGACGTTTGGGGGGAAAAAATGGAGAGTGAAAGGAGTCGCCTGAGGGTACTGAGGTCTGAGAGTAAAGGAAGATTTTTAAAGGGAGAACTAAGGCATTGTGGTGCTATCGTACGCACAGTGCAAATACCGCACAAGAGAATATTCTCCTCTCAAATGACAGAATTGAGATGAGTAAGAAAGTAAAGGGTGCAAGTTGGGCGGGTTTAAACTCAACCAGGCCTAATGAGACCGGACTGAACAAGAGGTGAAGCCCAAACAAACTGTCCAATCTTAGCCCAACTCACACTGAAATTTCATGCAATTGAGTTGGGCTCAGATTGGTCAATCAGCCCACACTAAAAACACAAATTTCATGCACCTGGGTTGAGATAAATCCAGACCGGATTTGGACTACTTAGTGGGTGATCCAAGCCCATCTCAAGAATAAAAAAACCGAAACTTTTATACCCAAATTCAACTGGTGTAAATTGTAAAATTTAACTTAACTTAGATTGAGGCCACTCAAGTTGAAATCCGATAAGAAAGCCAGCCCATCAATCCACAGTTAATTTAACTTAGAGGGGACCTGGATTTTATTAAATAAAAGTTAAATAATGGAAATGCATAAGAATAGATAGTTGTTTTTTATTTTAATTTTTAAATAATTAATAATTAATTATATTTTATATACTATATTAAATAATTAATAATTAATTATATTTTATATACTATATTAAATAATTAATAATTATTTATATTTTATTAAGAAAAAGTTATATAATAGAAATACATAAGAGTAGATAATTGTTTTATATTTTAATTTTTTAAATAATTAATAATTAATATTTAAATAAGAATAATTAATTCTAGTTAGGGTTGTTTGTCAAACCGATGAGACTAACCAAATTGACCCAACTCGACCCAATTAAGTTGGTCACTTTTTAGTATTTCCAGTCGGCTTTGGTTTAGCAATTTTCCAACTCGATCAAGTTCGGTTAGTTTTGGTTTGACCATTTGTAAACCAACCAAAATCGAACCGACCTGATCGTGTGTGTGTGTGTCTATATATATATATATATATATGAGAGAGAGAGAGAGAGAGAGAGTTCGAATATATATAGCAAAGTGGGAAAATTCCCATATTTCTTAGTCTAAAATATTTTATATTATAAATTTAAATTTTAAAATTTAAAATTTATTCTTTTAATAATATTATTGTCATATTTTAACTTTAATTTTTAAGTTCAAATCCTTTTAATTGACCAACCAAATTGAAAATTGACCAAAATCGGTACTAATGTTTTCAACCCGCATTGACCCGACCGATTGACCATAACATTCACCTAACCTTGGTTTCGGGTCTAGTGGGGACCCATACGATCCACGAACTTTGCTAAGCGAAAGTTAAATTAAATATATAGTGCTAATGTGGAATGGTCTAACCCATTCAACTCGAACGATTGAACCGGTGACCACAACCTAAATGCAAAAGCGAGTCGATCTCCAGATTGGTTTTTAAAACATTGACTCATAGAACTCAAGTTGGGTGATCAATTTTGAGTGACCAACTCCCTAACCCAACCAGATTAGTTTGGTTGGTCAAACAATCTGCAATCGAATTGAACAACCTAGTGAACACTCCTAATTCCAGTTAAATTAATAGTTTAATCTCTAGCAAAAAACAAAAGTGTAATATCTAATAATTATTCAAAATTTATAGCGAAAATACACAATTACTAAAAATATTTATAATAAAAATATAATAAATAACTAAAAAAAGCTTAAATACCTCTAAGTTATTTAATCTACTTTCACTATTTAAATAACACTTAAGATTTTTTAATTATTTATATTTTATATTATTCTTTTTGTAGTGTTTTATCTTTTTGGTGTATATTTTTTCTTTTGTTCATTTATGAAAAAAATGTAAGATTTAAATAGAGGGAATTGAATGAGGTGAAAAGTAGTAGTTCAATTTACAATTAAATAGGGACTAAATTCAAAACTAAGTGTTTCTTCTACAATTTTTGTATTTTTGTGTGTAAAAATAATTCTAATATATCACACTTACCTTTTATTTAATATTGTTAATGTCGACTATGTAGGGGTATTTTTGTCTTTATGCTTATGTTTAAGTTGCTGATGTGTAAAATTATGTTAAATCTTATGTCCCTCACTTAAGTAGGGGCAAAGATGTCATTTCCAGATTAATAGAAAAATAAAAACAAATCTGGCCAAATGGGAGAGACTGACTTTCTCTTTTGTTCGAACTAGAACTTTCTCTCCTTCTCTTCTCTTCTTCTTCTTCTTCTTCTTCTTCTCTCTTTCACTCTTTCTTTTATTTCTGTTGTTATCACTCTAACAGAATTCAAGGGCTGGCCAAATTCTAATATCGTATCAGAGCCAAACTGAGCAAATCAAAACTGCCCAGTATTATGTTCTTTGCACACCCAGTCTAGGGTTTTCTCTTGTTTTCTTCACCATCAGTTGGAGATAAGGGAAAGGGCTGAAAAGGAGTGATCACCCTCTTCCCTTGGAGGTTTCTATGCCTCCAATTGTGCAGTTCGTGGTTGGTTGCTATGGTTTGTAAGAAGCCCTCCCCTAATCGATGAAGAGAAGAGGGCTGATTCATATGATGCAGTGGGTACCTAGTGTGATCTGGTTTTTTGGTGATTAGGTAAGAGGTTTCTATATAGTTTTTTGTTGTGAATCAAATGATAAGTTTGTTTCAAATTGTATGGTGGGAATTCAGGTTGTAGTGTGTTAGGGTTTATGCAAATTTTAGTAAGTGTTGAAATAGTGTGGTTTAGTGTGCAATGTGCCGAATTCAGCAATGGAAGACAATAGTGGCAGTAAAACTAGTGCGATGGTCCCTACTGACTACCTGAATGTTTAGATGACCTCTATTAAACTGAATGGAGAGAATTATGTACCTTGGGTTAAATCTGTAGAAATCTTTCTTAAGGCAAAGAAGAAGGTAAAACACATAAGGGAAGAAAAACCCTCCAGTGATTCTCATGAGTATGATGACTGGGAACAAGAAGTTGCATAGATTATCACATGGTTATGGAACAGTATGAAACCCAAGATTAGTGTGAATTTCATGTTTCTTGATACTACCAAGGAAGTGTGGGACCATGCTAAGAAATTGTATTCGGGTCAAGACAACACAACTAGAGTATATCAACTATATCAGGAACACTTTAATTTGCAACAGGATAATCAGAGTCTTGAGGAGTATTATACTAGTATGAGAACCATAAGTAATGAGTTGAATGTCTATCACCCTCTCACCTCTAATGTCAAAATTCAGCAACAGCAGAGAGAGCAACTAGATGTGACTCGATTTTTGGTGGGGCTAAAGTTTGAATATGAACTAGTGTGGGCTCAGATATTGGGAGGATTATCTCTCCCTTCCTTAGAAGAGGTGTTTGCTTGACTTAAGAGGATTTCTATTAGATCTACCAAGAACTCTAGTGTTTTCGACAAATCAGCCTTTGCAGTATCAAGGGGTTGTGGTGTTAGTGATGGAGCTCGGGAAGTTCAGTCTAGCCGTAGTGGTAGTAGTGGACCGGTATATGGCTGTAGTGGTGGTGGTGAACCTACATATAACCGTGGTGGTGGTCGTACTAGAGGTCGAGATTCAAGGGGAGCTCGTGGCAGAGGACGTAGTTCGGGTCCGAGGAGATGTACACACTGTGGTATGAATCAACATACCATTAATTATTGCTATGATTTGCATGGTCCACTTTCAACATGGGTCAATCATGCCATGACTAGTGATAGTAGCATCAGACAGGAGAGTCATTCAGTTGATCAGATGCTCCCTACATCCACAAATGTTCCTAGGAAAGAGATGATGAGTGTTCCCCATGATGAGTATGAGAGGTTTATCCAGGCCACATCTCAACAGAACACGATCACTCTTGTATACTCAGGTATGGCTTGTCTGGCATCCACACCCAATCCCTAAATTATTGACTCTGGAGCCTCCGATCACATGACTGGAACTCCAGGTGTGTTTACTTCCCTCTCTCATTTCCCAACATCACAATCCGTTACCCTTGCTAATGGTTCCACATCCTCCATTGTAGTATAGGTATGTGTTTTTCAAGATCTCAAGACGGGGATGAAGATTGGTGAAGGACATGAAACTGGCGGATTATATTATCTTTACGGTGGTGGAAGTATGTCAACAGTTCTCCGATCATCTCTTTCTCCTCTCTAGTGGCATTATCGATTTGGTCATCCTTCGCTGAAATTTTTGAAGTCTTTGGTTCATTCGTTGAGTCATCTTTTTGTTTTAGATTGTAAGTCGTGTTAGTTGGGGAAACATCATCGTGTTCCCTTTAGTCATAGGTTTGATAAGCGTATGTCGAGTCCTTTCTTTTGTTCATTCAGATGTTTGGGGTCCCTATAAAGTAATGCTATACAATGGATATAAAAACTTTGTCATTTTTGTTGATGATTATTCAAGGATGGCGTGACTTTATTTAATGAAAGAAATGAATGAATTGTTTGCCATTTTCTAAGAAATTTTATGTTCTCGCAACCAATTTGGTGTCCACATTAAATTTTTTTGTTTCAATAATGGCCGTGAATATTTCTCTACATCATTTCAAGAATATTTGGACCAACATGACATTATTCATCAGACTTCATGTACCTACACCCCACAACAAATTAGAAACTGCTCGATCCCTCATGCACCATATGAATGTCCCTAAACCTTTTTGGAGTGATGCGGTGCTTACTTCTTGCTTCCTGATTAATTGGATGCCCACGTCTATCCTTGATGGTCATTCTCCATTCACCACTTTGTTTCCTACCTTGCCTCTGTTTCATCTTTCTCCTCGGGTTTTTAGGTGTGTCTGCTTTGTTCATAATCTGGGGCCAGGAAGGGACAAGTTAGATGCACGATCCATTAAATGCATATTCCTTTGTGTGTGCTGATATTATCATCCTGGCTCAGAAAGAGTACAAGTATTATCATCCTGGCTCTCAACGTTCCTTTGTGTGTGCTGATGTTACTTTCTTTGTGTCTACTTCATTTTTCTTGGGGTCAGGTAATGTTTCTTCCTCCTAATCA